CCCCGCGCCCGCCCCGGCGGCGGTGCCCGCCCTGCCCGGCCTCACCCCTCCCTCACTCCCGGCCTGTGGAGCGGCGGGATCCCCCGCGGGCCCGGGCCTGCCGGCTCCTGCCCGCCGGCTGCCGCGTCCCTCCGTGAGGGCGGCTGTGAGGGAACCCCCGCCCAGGGGCTCCCCGCTCGGCCGTGATGGGGCCGCGGCCACAGGCTTCGTCTCTGGGAGCTTCTCCTGGCTCCCGGCCGTAGGGAAGCCCTGAAGCCGCCTCAGCCTGTAACCTCAGTGGGTCTTGGTGATGGCGTGGGGGATATTTGGGGAAGAAGGAGCTGAAGTTTTGGTGCCTTGGGTCGCTGTGGGCCCTGCTGTCAAATGTTTGCTTTGGGCTTATGTAATCCAAAAATGGGGGGCGTCAAGCCTCTTAAAATATTTTCCACATAAAGAAAGACTCATGAGAAAGTCTGGCTGCGTGTTATGATAATAAACATCCTGTTGCAATGATCGGTGTTGCTATAAGTAGACTTCCCATCTCTAAATATCTGCTGGAGAATGTAACACTTGCCAGGCCCTGAGTGCTGAGTCTGCCTTGGGTTGGTGTAACACTCGAATTTCTGTGGAGAAACTTGGGTGAAATCATTCAAGGGGAAGTCAGATATGATGATATAATCATGGGGATGATTGTGCCTAATTATTGTAGGGTAATTGTAAACCCTTATCTAACCCTGCTATTTTTCAGCTATTGCACGACCCTTGATTTAGCATTAGATCCCTGTGGGGTCGGGCACCTGACCTACTGGAGCGTATTTTGGTATTTGAGGAACGAGAGAACAAATAGGTGGGGGGTCAAGATATTATGTGGCAATACACTTTTATCACAGGGTTGTAAGGAATATAGCTGTTAATTGTAATTTTATGTTCTACTGGCACAGTGTTCTTGCATGCAATGGGGTGTATGTTTTGGAATAAGCTCAGTGATTTCAATAGCTGAAAGCAGTAAAAAAAGTTGTCTCCCTGAAGATTTGACAGGACTTGGTGCCGCCGAGCCCCAGCACACCGCCATCATGTCGGGCACCGTCTCCATCCTCCAACAATTTGCCAATGGCCTGAAGAGTCGCAGTGAGGAGACGAGGGCGAAAGCTGCCAAGGACTTGCAGCATTATGTCACCATGGAGCTCCGCGAGGTGAGTGCTGCAAATGAGATGATTTATCCTTGTTTATCTTATGAGTCTCGGGCACTGGCTGGGTGCTTTGGGGGTGGAGATTTTGGGAATATGGAAGCCATTTCGGAGAGGAGATGGGGCATAACAGGGAGCTTACCTTTGTCACAGCTTGTAGGAAAGGTGAGTGAGTTGGTGACACAGATGGGTGGTCAAGTACCAGAATAAATAAACTTGACATGTCTAGGGCAAAAAGAAGGCATATTTAATTTCTTTCTGTTTAATTTAATTTATTTCTGTTTAAGTGATCTAGGAAGCATTGTCTTTATGGAGATATTGGAGGCAGGAAGGAAGGAAAGAATGCTAAAAGCTGACTTGAACTTTTTTCTTTTACAGATGAGTCAAGAAGAATCTACCAGGTTTTATGATCAGCTGAACCATCACATATTTGAGCTGGTCTCTAGCTCTGATGCAAATGAAAGGAAGGGTGGCATTCTGGCTATAGGTGAGTGAGTGTGCTTAATGCCTCGGGTGAGTTCTCTCTTCATGCATCTACCTTTAGGGACAGATTTTGAAAAGGAATGAGCTTTTATTATCAGCACCTTATATCTGACTGCTCAGTATGCTGGGTGCGTGCTAGTTGCTGGGCTCTGAAAATCTGTCTGGAAGTGTCAGCACGGGAGCTGCTGAGTGCTGAGAGTAGCTGAAAACCTGGTGCTTAATGGGCCCTGCGGTCTTCCCGGAGTCAAGCATCAAATGTGAGTGCTGAGCATGTGAAAATTCTGGTTTGAGCTCAGCTGAAAGCAGTTTGTGCTGTCCACTTAAATGTATCAGTGTAGGCTGATTTTCTCAACTCTTTTCTTTCCGAGGAGATTGATTCTTGTTACTTACATTTACCTGGCTCAATAACAGCAATTCCCATCCCTGCAAGGGGCTCACAACCCAGGTACAAGCAGGTCAACCCAGGCACTGGCACTGAAAACTTCTGCCACCTGCCTAGGGGCCTCCACCCTGGCCAGGAGAGACCATCTCTAGGGCTGAGGAGGAGAGCAATTTCCTCGGTCCATTTGGTCTTTGACTCCTCTACTGAGGCAGACCAGCCGTAATAGTTGCATGTGGATGGATGCCTTTCTATTGGCAATGGGTCTGTGATCCCAGGGTGGATTTTTTTTCTCTCTTTTTAAAATAAAAATGGGGTAAATCTATGAAGACACTGGTTATGTTTTCCTGCCCACTTAACAAGTTCAGGCTTGAAAGAATGGTGGCCCTTTCCTATTGCTTGACTATTTTATTTTTCTTTCTGTGGATTTGCAGAGTAGGAGGACCTAATGAGAATCTTTAAGGAATGCATAGGGAAGACTAACTCTCATCCAGGCATTACCTACTGTCTGCCACCCTGACTCTTAAGAATAACCTACAGCATTACTCTCTTTCTCTGCAGCAAGCCTTATTGGTGTTGAAGGAGGTAACGCCACCCGTATTGGCAGGTTTGCCAACTACTTGAGGAATCTCTTGCCATCCAATGACCCTGTTGTAATGGAGATGGCTTCCAAGGCTATTGGGCGGCTTGCGATGGCTGGTGACACCTTCACAGCTGAGTATGTGGAGTTTGAGGTGAAACGAGCTCTGGAATGGCTGGGAGCTGACAGGAATGAAGGTCGAAGACATGCTGCTGTAAGTGATCTTTTATTTGTCTTCATCCGTGTTGGAACGGGACGGTTAGGATTAGTTAACAGTGGTAGGAGATGTGCACAGAAAGCTGTGGAGATGCTCTGGTCAGGATCAAAATGGCTGCCAGTCCATGTCTGAGAATCTGATGCTCTCATGGCAAATATAGTGCTGCTTCATTGCTTCTACCTTAGCCCAGTGACTGAAGATTGAGAACTGTAAAACTATGAAGCTGGGAGCAGCTCAGGCTCACAGACACTGACAGTCTAAATAAGCAGTACTACGGTCTAAAAATTACGAGGTTTGTTTATGGGTGCTCGTCCTCACAGATTGTTACTGTTTCTCTGCCCCCACCGCCAGGTTCTTGTCCTGCGTGAGCTGGCAATCAGCGTGCCTACCTTCTTCTTCCAACAAGTGCAGCCATTCTTTGACAATATATTTGTGGCTGTGTGGGATCCCAAACAGGCCATCCGAGAAGGAGCTGTTTCTGCCTTAAGAGCCTGCCTTATCCTCACCACTCAACGGGAGCCAAAAGAGATGCAGAAGCCCCAGTGGTACAGAGTAAGAAAATAACTTTGTTTTGAAGCAGCTCCTCATAACTCAATGCAAATGATGAAGTGCCAATTTTTAGAAGAGCTGTCTAAGCTATGAAACTGTTTCACTTCTGTCAGTATGTCTGATTGTCAGTAGAAAACTGCTTTCCCCTTGAAAGGGTTGAAAATACAATGGCTTACAAAATGCGTAGTTCCTTTAGTGCACTGTAAAAGAAAGAAAGAGACTAAACTCCATCAAGAATCCATTGCTCGCTTTACAGCTCATTTTCAGCTGTTGAGCCTGACCTAGTTTTACAGCCATGCAATCAGCTCTCATCATCTCTTATTAGCAGATAGTTTTATTATTGTAGATAAAACA